GGGTGGGGCAGGGTGTGGGGCCGGCGGATGTGTGAGAGGGAGGGTGTGGAGGTTGAGGTCAAAGTTGAAGGGGTGGGAGTGTTGGGGTGGCAAGGGTGATGGACGCAACACACGCATCGCACAAACCCCCGACGGGTTGCGTGTCTGAAGTGCTGCCGCGGAGGAGCCCCGGGGCCCCAGGCACGCCGCGTCCCGGCTCTCATCGGCTGCGCGCCCGGCGCGGCGGCGGCCGGCGGGGCTGCGCACCGACTCTCCGGTGTATATGACCATGGCCATCCCGATGAACTCCGCCAGCGCCCTGGGCAGCAAGCAGGCGGGGACGAGGGGGGAGGCGCACAGGTTTGCACAGTTCGGGCACACAGGCACGCCCCAAGTGGGTGTGGGTGAGTGAGCAAGAAAGCCAGCAGGCGGGCGCCGCCAAACCGCAGGCACTGCCAACTGCATGGGCGGCCAGTGTGGAGTGCAGCAGACGGCGGTGAGGGTCAGCGGCGAGCAGCTGCCCGTGGCGCCGTGTCGCAGGTGGCACCCCTGCGCCGGCGCTGCTGCGCGAAGTCACAGGCCCGACCGACCCCCACAGCATGCAAAAGCAGAGGCGGGGCATGCGCCAGGCCCAGCCACGTTTGGGCGCATCGCTCGCGCCCGCGGTCTGGCCGACGGCCGCGGCCCCTATGGCCCCACCTGATCCCCAGGGAGTACACGATCTTCACAACCGGCTCATTGTAGGTGATGGCCTCGGACCCGGTCGAGTCCATGCCTGCTTAAACCAGCTGCCGCGCTTGTGCGCCGCAAGGGTGCGAACGGTTGCTTGCGGCGAGATGCGCTGACTCTGGTAGGTAGTGTAGTGCAGCGCGTGTGCCGACACACGACAGCGTTGGGGGCCGGAGGTTACCCCTGGGTGATCAACAGCGGGGATGCCTTGAATTTCAGCCCGCAACTCGGTCCGTCAGGGTGGTGGCAGCGCGAGCAGCTGGCCGTTGCCCACCTGGTAGCGCTTGTGTGACTGCTGCAGTGACGCTGCTGCCTCTCTTCAAAGGAATCCTGGGCTGCCAGTGCCTGCGTCGCACTTGTGAGTTACACCTCTGAACTATGCACCACGGGCAGCGCCTGAGATTCTGTCGAGCCTGAGCCTGGCCAATGATCTGGAGCTAGCACAGCTTAGAAACCTCTGAAACCTGCCATGTGACGACGCTGTGGTTTTCTTGCACCGGACCTCACCATGGTGACCAATTTGCGAGTGTCGTGAGTGACCGAGAGCCGGGACCAGAACTTTACCGTTCAACGGGCTCTCAAAAGCGGGGTCAGAAGGGCGACTAAGTGGGAGTATATCTAGTCAAAATCAGAGTCCTCGTCATCTGATGCCCGCTGGTAGATGCCCGACCGTACGCTGCGCTGCTGCTTCTGCTGCGCGGCGCCTCCCACAGCCAGGGCATCCAGCTTCACTGCATCCGCCGCCGCGAGCCGCTCCTCCAGCATCTCTGTGGTGAAGTCGTCCTTGCCCCCAAGGTCGTCAAAGCCCACCACGTAGTCCACCACCTGAGAATGCATCACATGGAGTTTCAGCCGGACCGAAACCTGGACTGTGCGGCCTGCCCCATCGTGCACGCTTGACCAGTGCCAGGGCCTGGAGGCGTCGCAGTTGAGTACTGAAAATGCAAACAAGCCCCAGTATCAGCAACACCACCACCCAGGTGCAACCCCTTTTTTGCGGTCCCCTCACAGCAGTGCCACCGACGTGGCGGGCCACACGCGCGTGCCCCGCGCACCTTTTCGTTCCGGACCAGCGCCAGCGTGGGCAGCATCCACACCTTCAGCTTCTCAGTCAAGTATGGGCTCTTCTCAGCGTTAATCTGCAAGATTCGTTTTGGGCGCCGCGGCCAGTTGAACCATGCACATTCGCCCACGCTGCTTTTTTCGCTCTTGCAACTCACGCCGTGCCCTCCACAACGAAAAGCAGCGGCGGGCAAGCACGCGCGACCCATTCCCCGGCCCACCTTGATGAATTTGGTCTCCAGGTGCTTGCGGCAGAGGAGCTCCAGGTGCTTGTCGATCACCTGGGGCGCGGCGGGCAGCGCCCGCGCTCGTGCAGTCGCTCCGTCCCACTGTCGGCCATCGGTCCATCACACTGCCCCAGCGGCACGCAGGGCATACGCGCTCGACCTGCAAATTTTGTCCTGCCGCACATGTGCGCCCGTGCGCCCGTTGCTCCCGCCGCCCGTACGCTCGCGCCCTGGCAGCGCTGCATGCCCGCCTCAGTCCCCCTGGCCCCAGCCCCACCCCCTTATGTTCCCAGCCCCCCACCTTGCAGGGCCAGTTGTCGCGGTAGAAGTGCGCCACAACGCGCTCCTCCCCCTTGACCTCCTTGAAGAACTGGCGCTCGTCATGCAGCTCGGTGTACTGCCCGTGCCCCCGCGCCGCCCACTCGCGCGCCTGGTCCTGCTGCCGCCGCATCTCGTCGACGCGCTTCTGCCGGATGCGCTCCAGGTCGTCGTCCTTCAGGTTCTCGAGCTTGTGCAGCTGGCTGTCGAGCTGGTCCTCCAGGCGCTTGGCCACAGATAGGACGGCCTGCTCCACGGCATGCTGCGCGAGCGAGCCGGGGGCGGCCATCGCTGCTGATGCGGTGCAGTGCGTTGCGGGCTCGCTGCACTGCGGAGATGCAAGAGAGACCTTGGGAGCGCTGAGAATTCACGATCGGGCGGCCTGGAAATGCAGCCAGGAGCGAGAGCTCGGTGTGGCGCCAAAATGCTGGCCTTAGCACGCGTGTGGATGCAAAAGGTTCAGAACAGCTCAGATAGATCTTCGTCTAGCCAGGATAATGAATATGCTTCCGAACGGATGCCGTGAGGAAGGATAGCTAGATCGCGCGATCTGGGACCTCGAGTTGAGCAACTGGGCTGTATGTGAGAGCAAGTGCGGTTACCGTAGCGATTACTGCGAATGATATCATCATTTGAACGCCAGTGCGGATTGGCTTTTGAGTGCGTACCGCCACAGCAGGCGGCGCGCCGTCGACGCCCTGCTGGTGCCTGCCCACATCACGACATATTTGCAGGCCGGAGCCCCCACACAGCCACCCCAGTTGCGGTGCGCCCCACCCAGGACTGATCCTAGCTGCAACTGGATAAGGTCTGTGTTTGAGCATAATGAACAGTACCAGCACGAAGCATATGAGACCCCTGCCAGCGCCTCACTCCAACCCCATCCCACCCCGTGCCGCCCCCTGTCACAAACATACTCATCCACCGACCGAAACTGCAAGCTGCGTAAGCGTTACAAGGCGAAGCTTGAACGCACAGCACATACATGCAAGCCAGGCGCCACCGATGCCGCGCTGCTGCCCTACTGGCCGCCTCCTGCGCTCGCCCCGCCCCCGGCCTGCTTGCCGCGTCGCCGCGGCACGAGGATCCACTTGGCCATCGGCGAGTTCTTCCGGGTGCGGTGCCCCTTGCAGGGAATGCCCCACGGCGTCACGCTCGGCCGCCCGCCCGCGGTGCCGCCACCGTGAGGGTGGTCGACAGGGTTCATCGCCACGCCCCGCACGATCGGGCGCCGCCCCATGTGGCGCGCGTAGCCGGCCTTGCCGATGACGATGTTCTGGTGCTGAGGGTTGGACACGGCGCCCACCGTGGCGCGGCACTCCATGGAGAAGAGGCGGTGCTCACCTGCGGGCCACGCGGAGGTTGAGGAATCGCAGACAGGGAAGCTGGATTGTCGGGCGCGGCGATGGCTCACTGGCCCATGGGCGGCAGGCGCGGAGAGGGCGGCCGGGCTCAAGGGCAGCAGGCACAGCGAGGCTGGGCTGGCTCAATGGGCAGCAGGCGCGGTGTGTGGCTGGCTTGCTTATTGGGCAGCAGGCGTGGCGTGTGGCTGGCTAGCTCATCACCGGCATGCGCAGTGGGCGCCGGCTGGCGGCTGCGCGGCGGCCGGTCAGTGTCGCTGGCGCGCGTGGCGCCCACCCGACGGCAGAGCTATGGTGGCGTGCGTTTCCTGCTTGTTGACGATGCTGGCAGCGCAGCCAGCCGCCCTGCCGGGATGTTGCGGGGACGCGCGCCGCGAGCATTGGTAATGGCTGCTGTTGGCACAGCTCAGGAATCCCGCTGCTGCAACTCAATCATGCCAAAAGCTCTGTGTGCCTACAAGGGCCAGCTGCGCCCCCTGGACCCAGAGGCAGCCGGACGGCCGCAGGCCCACAGCGGCGCCGCCGCCAAAGCGCACCTGCACAGCGCCGCGCCTTGACCGGGCCGCATCTCCAGGTTGTGCAGCGACGCGCCAACCGGGATGTCCCGCAGCTTCAGCGTGTTGCCCGGCCGCACCGCCGCGCCCTCCGCCGCGGACACCGCGTCGCCGGGCCGCAGCTCCTGGGGCGCCACGATGTAGCTGAACGGGCGCGGCGCGGCGGCGCCGCCGCGGCTGGCCATGCGCGCGGCGTGCTGGTCGGCCTTGAGGCGCTCCAGCAGGTCCGCCACCGCCCGCCTGTACGCGGCGTCGCCACCGCGTTTGCTGCTGCTGCTGCTGCTGCTGCCGCTGCTGCCGCTGCTGGTCTTGCCGCCGCCGCCGCTCGCCGCGGGCCGCAGCGCAGCGGCCCGCTCAGCGAGCGCGCGGGTCTCTTTGCGCGCATTCGGCAGCTGGTGGCGCACAAGCGCGATGTACGCCGTGCGGCCTGGGTCGTATTCGATCCGCTCAACAACACCGGTTGAGGCATGTGTGTTTGGTCGCCGCACAAAATCGACGTTCCGCAGCATCTTGCGCGCGCCGCCGCCGCGGTGCCACATGGTGATGCGCCCGCTGTGGTTGCGGCCGCCGGTCTTGGCGGCCCCCTGCGTGAGGCAGCGCTTGGGGCCGCCGCGCCAGACGCCCGTGCGGCGGACGGTCACACGGCCGCGCTGGCCCGGGCTGGTGGGCTTCCAGTACTTCAAGCCTGGAAGGAGGAGAGCGATAGGGAGGGTCAATATATTCTTCGCTGCAACGGGGTGAGGGTTCAAGTTGCAGTCGTGCACTGGGTTGAAACACTAGCGGTGTTAGGGTGTCGTGCAACCGCTGCACGGTGTGGCAGACCAAATCGTCACACAATCCCACATGCAGGCCATTTGTGCACAAGCCCCAATCGTGTCCCGCCACCAGTCTGCCCACCGCCCCTCCTTGTGCAGGAGAGCGCACCGGGGTTGGCTGCTGCCTTGCGTTCAAAGTGTGTGGCAAAACACCGCGTGGTGCAGCCGCCTGCGCTTGATGCCTTCAACCCTGCCTGCCAGCCGTGCGTCAGTGCCGTCGAGTGCTGCAGAAGCGAAGGCCAGGCCGCTTGCGCGAGTGCTGCGGGTGATGCTGCTGCGAATGTGTTGCCCATCGCTGGCGACCCAGCAGCCTCCCCCGCCTGGCAGGCCCGCAATAAAGGCGAGCCTGCCGCCAACAGGCGACGCCACATTGAGAAAACCGCAACCAGCAAAGGTGATCTGATGAGAGCCAAGCCAAATTCCGTGAACAGCTCAACTTCAGCCTCGTGTAGGGAGCACTTCACACCGCAACTTGTCATGGATCTGAACCAGTGCGTCACGCCTTGACACCGCAGAGTCATCATGAGGAGCGAAGGGGAAGCCGGCTTGATGTTCCAACCTTCATGTGCGGGGCCTGTCGCACTGCGCTGTATTGTTGGCGCATATCATCACATTCATACCACACGTCTCTCTGGTGTAAATCACTCAGAATCGTAGTACGGTTTTCTAGCACGTCCCGCGCTTGCCGCCCCAAGTGCAAAGCGCTCCGTACACCCGACGAAGCCTGTCATAGTCAATTTCTCATCGTGATCACTAGAGGCCTGTGCAGCAAGCAGGCAGGTGGGTCCCGATCGGTGATAGTGTGATGCTTGCGTGTCAGTGGTCCCGTTTGGCCACCACCAGCGGCTGCTGGCCCTCATACTGGGTTTCAAGGCTCACTTTCTGTGCCTGAGTGGTGCCGGACGTGCATCTGATTGGTCTCGGGCGAAATGGCTGTTCGTCGAAAGCGATGGTGGTGTTCGCTTGGAGACGCTTGCGTTCACGTATTGCCTCCCTCCGACACTCTCATTTGAATACCTCGTGTTTTCCCAGGCATCATGCCGACGGTGTGTGTCGCGCTCCGGTCTACAGAGACGCGCCGCTTGCGCGCCATGCTGGCGGTCGCTGCTGTGGCGCTTTTCGCGGTCATACGTGCAGCGGACGCGGCAGTCGCCTACAATGAGGCCCTGTGGAATTCGTTCAGCCGTTACGAGGCCGATCACGTTCCCGCCAAGCTGCTGTTCCCCATCAACAAGGAGAGCTCGGGTCCCAAGCTCTTCCCCCTTGACCTGGTCTGGAGCGTGGAGGTGCGAATCACCAGGGTTTGGACGGGAACGCAGCATCCGGCGACCAGCCATGAAACTGGCTGGGATGCCGGTGTTGATCATGAGCACATGACAATAGCAACATGCACATGCACGCATTTGGCACGAACATGTGCGACTGCAAAGTGCACAGCCACACACACCCATGTGCTTACAAGGACACCTGCACATGCATGTGCACACACACACACACACACACACGCACATACATGCACACTCCTGCTGCTCCTCAGGAGGACTGCCATGGCCCGAGCCGCCCCTTCCCAAGCCCTGTGGCTCGCGAAGTGGCCGGCGCATGCGAGTACAAGCCCACGGGTGCGCGCCAAAATGCACCGTCAGCGATGCGAACGCACGACGCGCGCCGCTGAACGCCCATCAGCCGCTAGCAACCACCTTGCATGGCAGCAGTCCTGCTGCATGTGCTGGCACGCTCCGAGCTTGCGCCACAAACCTCTCCGCCACACCAAACTCGACCCAGGCAGCAACATGTACAAGTTCTGGCAGAAGCTTCCCGGCGACCGCCTGCGGTTCTCAAACTGCTACTGCTACGCGGCTGACTTTTACGGCGGCGGCTGGTGCGCGCAGCTGAAGGGCACCCCAGGGGCCGTTGCCATGTTTGTTGGGGAGGTGGTGTGTTATTGGCGCCTGCTTGGCCCCTACCCTGTGACATTGGTTGCGCAGGCCTTGTAGCGCCGATCCCTACCCTGCGACATTGGTTGCGCAGGCCTTGTAGCGCCGATCACCCATTCACCATCGCTTCTTCTTCCAGGTGCTACCCCGGCCTCGCGGGCGGCATGGGCGAGATGGACCCCCGCACCACGTCCTGCGCTGACCTGTCGCGGCGCGTGGTCGCGGACGGCGGCGTGCCCGTGACCCGCAAGGCCGCGGTGGAGGGGCCGGTGCCGGCGGCGGGGCACTACATCGCCCTCTACTACAGGTGAGCCGCGGGGCGCCGCGTCCGCTCGGGCGATTCGTCGCCGCCTCTCTGCCCTTTGAACTGTACCCAACTTGCCGCGCGCCACGTGGCAGCTCGCAGCGGGCGCTCACCGCCACGCCTCCTGACACCACCCCTTTCCCCCCGACCCCCAGGCCCCAGTCGAGCTGCGACTTCCCCCACTGCATGCCCGACTTCCACTTCCTGCGCCGCGACATGGGCGGCACCTGGAGCCAGAAGACGGGCGAGGCGCCCGTCACCAACCGCGACGCCGACGGCAAGATCATCAAGGACCCCCAGGTGCGCGGCAGCTGCTGATCTTCTGGACCGGATGGACCGCCCTGGGGGGGGGGGTTGGGCGGGGCATGCACTGGGATGCGGCAGTGTTTGAAAGGGCGGGGCAAGAACCTTGCACCCAGCTGTGCATGTTGTGCTCCCCACACTGGCAACCGCCGAACTGCAACCACAGCCGCCCTCACGCCTTCCTCGACGGGCCTGAGCTATCCCGCTGATTCTGACACCCTCTCCTGCCCCGCCGCGCCCCTCCCCAGGCCGCACGCCTGGGCGGCGGCTACACCAAGCTGTGCGGCTACTTCAAGGTGGACCCCGCCAAGATGAAGGTTAAAGCGCAGCGCACCCCCGACCGCGTCAACAACCTGCTGCAGCGGTGGCGCGAGGCGGGGCTGGAGGTGCACGTGACGCCGCTGCCGTACAACCCCGCAACCGACGCGGTGGACCCGGCGGCGCGCGACGCGCAGCGGCTGCAGTCGCAGCGGGAACAGCTGGGCGCGCCGGATCCCCAGCAGCAGCAGCTGCAGCAGTCGCAGGCGCAGGCGTTGCGCCAGGCGCCTGCGGGGCCGACCAACAACGGCCGCGACGCGGCCGCACCTGCCGCACCCGCCTCCAACCAGCAGCAGCAGCAGCAGCCGGGCAAGGCGGGCGGGCGCCGGCTGATGCGCGGCGGCGCCGGCGGCGCCTGAGTCGGTGTGGGGGAACGCCCCCCTTTGTACAGTCTTCCACAGTTTGCCTCCTGTGTTCAGAGTCTGCCACCCGTGTTCAGGGCTGGAACACCCCTTGTCACACCACCACCCCGGTCACCCTCCATGCGAAGAGCTGCCGGCTCGTTGCACCCACCCCACTGCACACCGTCCAGGGGCCCCGGCCTGAGACACGGCCGGGCACCCGACGTCCCCTGCCGTTTCGGGGCAAGCGTTTTTCTTGCGCCGTTTGGTGCGTTGCTTGGCACCCCCCCCCCGGACACATTGGCGGCAGTGTCACCGATGCTTGCATCGTCCCGCGCGCGTGCGCCGTGCGCGCGTTGTCCGTGCGTGCGCTGGTGTGGTGGCCTGCGGTCGTCGCACGCAGCCGGCCCCCCTTTGGCCGCTCGTGCGTGCACGCGACAGCGCCTCGCTCAGCTACTATAAGCCTTGCGCTGCGCTTCGCAGCAAAGTGTCGTCGCCCTCCGAGAGGCTCGGGCACACGCCCAGCCGCCGCCGTGGCCGTCCCCGCCTGCTCGTTTGCTCAGGCGGTCGCACAGGCGGGG